ATTAATTATTGGTCTGAATTGGTCAGTAAATTTAATAATTGTTGAAACCATGTAAAAACTATTGCAACCAATAATATGGTCACTATATGTATATATTTTAGCAACCAACATATATATTATTTAAAAACCAACATATACCGTCACTATATGTATATTATGTAGCAACCAAAAAATGTGGTGGCCAAATATATATCCTATAGCTACAATAAAATATGGTCACTATACGTATATATCATTTAGCGACCAAAATTATATGGCCACTATATATGTTGCTGTAGCAACCATGTTAATATTATTGCCACCATAAAATTTACATTAGCGAGTCAAAAACTGGTCGTTAATAATTATATTTTTTAGTGACCATTATTAATTCGCCGCTAAATCTCATCTTTTAGCGTCCAATTAATTTTCTTGTCACTGAGTACTTTTAGTAACTACCCTGTTGTGACCACCGGTGACCAAGCTTAATTTGGTCGCTAGAAGTATTAGCTACCATTTTCTAACTTTTAGCGACCATACAAAATCGTCACTAAAACCAATATTTCTTGTAGTGTACGGATAGTGGAAATAGTTGGGAGAAGATGGCCCCTAGTATTATTTGGATAATATGACGTCCCTTAAGGATTGAGTTCAAACCTTTATTTATAGCTTAGTTGAGATTGTCGGGCCCAAACCTTACTTGAAGGTGATTGGGCCTCGGTGATAGTGGTCTTAAATATTGGGTTCGTGGCCCATTAGATAAAGAAATTGTAGGCCCATTGGGTTGGCCCAATTAGGCATATCAAGTATAATTTGTACTAAAATGCATGTTTAATTTTTCAAATTACTCGAGTGACAATACAAAAATCTCTTATTAATAAGGTTGCTTTTGGTAGAATTAAGTACTAAGAGCAAATCCACTGGGATTGGATTATCAAATCCATAAACATCCAATCAAAAAATGATACGTGGCAATTACAAATAAAACCACTAAAAACTTCCAATTGATTATTGATTTAGATAACAATGGAGTAAATAAATTGTAAATGAATATTAAAATATTATCTTAATTATCAAATGCGTATTTGATAATCCAATTTTGATGTTTATTATTGAAGTTGCTCTAATGCTGCTAAATAAATATTTGAACGACTAAAAAACAATCATGATTTAATGTTGAAGAATTAATGTATAAATGATTATGAGGGGTGTGTGAATGTTGAAAGATTAACAATTAAGTTTGTTCGATAAATAAAGTTCAGTAACACTTGAATAATATTTTTTTTCTTCTACTATGTATAATTCAACTGTGAGTTGAATGTTAGTATAATTTATGAATACATATAGCTTTTTAGTGTGACACACTGTAGTATAAAATACAAATTTGATGAGCATTATAAACACTAATTAATGACATGTAGATTTAGTGTAAATATAATTCATTATTTTGACGAAGATTTAGTGTAAATATAATTCGATATGCAAAAGTTAACAAATGAAAATAAAAATAAAACAACAAACTCCATTAAAAATAAAACATTTAAAGTGTTAAAATTGTATGTATTAAGTGAAAAAAAAAAACATTTTATTTTGTGAAATATTAATAACTTTTATAATTGAATATTAAAATTAGGGGTGTAAATTGGAATGGAATTTCCGAATTCCGCCGATTCCGATCCGATAATATCCGAATTTGGAACACTTTTTTTCATTCCGATTTTCGATATTCCGACTTCCAATTTTTCCGATTATTTTTTGAACGGAATTGGAATTACATATAAAATTATTGGAAATTCCGATTTCCGATCCGATTGTACTTCCGAAATATATATATATACATATATATATATATATATATATATATATATATATATATATATATGTATATATATATATATATATGTATATATATATATATATATATATATTGTATTTTTGAATTGTTTTTTTCTATTCATGTTTTGCAAGAACTATAGTTGTTTTGATAAACCGATTATGTTATTTTTACAAGTGTTTACATTTCATCTTATTGACCTTTGCTTTGCATTCTTGCCTTTTGTCGGAAAATTACGAAAATATTAAAAAAAAAACTAAAAATTACCATTATTTCCGATTTTGGAACAAAAAATTAAGAATTAATGCAATTTCCGAAAATTCCGAAATTCCGCCGATTCCGAGGTATTCCGAAATTGGAATGGATTTTGAAATTCCGATTTTTTTGGAACGGAAATTGGAATCTATTTTTAACTTCCGAAAAAAATTGGAAAATTTCCGAAAAAAGGCATTTCCGATCCATTCCGTCCGATTTACACCCCTAATTAAAATTGACAACTATTAAAACAAAGAATAATGTAATACTTGCAAAAGCTGGCAATTAGTTAGTAGTGATCATATGCACGAATCAATTTCACTTATTATTAATCCCTTTTAAATAATTATCTATTATATCAACTATTAAAATAGAATTTAAAGTCATTAATATATAAAAATATAGGGGAAAATATAATTTTCGTCCCTCAAGTTTGCACCATTTTCATATTTGGTCCCTCATGTTTAAACAATTCAACACATTTGGTCATTTCCGTCATTTTTTGTTAGTACTAACGGAATCAAGCGTGTGTCCATCACTTCCTTAACTGATGGAATAATGGTAAATTGACGAAAATGACAAAAAATGTTAAATTACTGAAACATAAATGACCAAATGTGAATTTTGTAAATATTGAGGTCAAATGTGACATTAGTGCAAACCTTAGGGGCAAAATCTATAATTTCGCCGATAACATATACGATGCATCAAATAGTCACGCGAATTATCTCCCAGCACGATCTAATTATAGGGATTAGACCTATTCACACGCCTTGAAAAAATAAATAAATCATATAATTGCATATAAATACGCATCGATCGATATTCATTTTCCATAAGCCAAAATCATCAATAAGTGAAATATCAGCCCATTTTAAAATATATAAAAAATAAAAAGTTTATTCCAAATATTTTAAGATGGCAATTCGTTTCACCGCAGTTTTGGCTTGTCTCGCCGTCATGGTTGCGGTGGTTTTGGCCCACGACCACAGCAACATGGCTCCTGCTCCGTCGCATTCGCCTGCTCCGGCGCCGGCGCCGGCACACTCCGCCGCCTTCGGCTCTTCTCCATCTGCGGTGGTTGGGTTGTTGGCACTTGCTGTTTCTTTCATCGGAGCCATCGGGAAAAGGATTTGAGATCAATAATTAATTATTTCCTTTCAATTTATATATATATATATATATATATATATATATATATATATATATATATATATATATATATATATATATATATATATATATATGAGTGTGCTATTTTGTTGCATGTTCTTTTTCCCAGTTTTCAATGTTTATTATGTATTGTGTAAGCGTTGATCTTTGTTTAATTAATTACTGGATATTGATTTATGAATTAAGCTGATCATGTGTATATTTTCATTTATATTTATTAATTATTTTATGCATGATTAGTTGTGAATTTGTATGTTACACGTCTATGGGATTAATTAATCCCTAACAGCCGATTAGATGCGAAAATTACTGCTAATAATCGTCATTAGCAGTTAATGAATGTTATTACTATGGAACAAAATCAAGAAATGCATCAACCATATTGTTGTATATATAATATATAGATGAATAGTAATAAAAATTTAATTATCAAAAAAAAAAAGAATAGTAATAAAAAATTATTTTTGTTAAAACATAAGTGCTCGTCTCAAACGCGACTACATCAACTTGCTCGAATTCAATCAAAGACAAATTGTTGGTTTCATCTGCAAAAGAAACTCGCGGGCCCCACAACTTCAATACGGGCCCGTTCGGTCAACTGCGAGCTTCGCGTTGCATTGACCCCTTGAACATGTTGATTTCTTGCATTTGAGATCGAGCACAATTGTTTAACCATCTTTCACCATATCTACTACCAAAGAGATATATATATATACCACGATGAATCAAACTTTTCGGGAGATTTGTTTTTACCATGAAACGAAGATTATTTTTCAATTCGAATTCGTGAAAATATGTTAACCAAGGAGCGAAAAATACAGAGAGATGAGATTAGGAACTTATAACAAAGTTGCAAAAGCACAGAGTACGTTCCAATTTCGAATGCGGTGAAAATTCAAACGTAAAACATATATATGCACAAACTAAAGGAATCAATCATACTTCTTGATGCGCTTGAGATCCTGAGATATATATCGAACGAGTACATCAAACCCGAAAATACATCGAACTGAGAAATCCAAAAGCTTGACTAAATTCCTATCAATGTGTGAGTTTTGGAGCTAATTCACAATGTTTGAGCAACTAATTTTTTTGAAGTTTATTATATTAACATTAATTATTATACCAATTAGTCTAATGAATTCCTTAATCTCATACTAATATGATTTTTAATTGCAAATCATAGACTTCATAGAATACAGTTGCAACAATTTCTCATCGATGATCGTCTTCTTCTTCTTCTTTTTATTTTTTTATTTTTCTTGAGATGATCGATGATGATTGTCTTGAAGTATATCGAACTACGTTTGATGCGTGCATCACGCATGTTTGTATTATCGGGCTTTAGTTTAGTTTAAATATTTATATTTTCCGGATTAAATCGATGCTCTAAACAACTGTGAGGATCATTATATTCTTGAAATACAGATATTATTCTGCATGCATGATAATTAATAACAGATATTAAAGGAGCCAAATATAGGAGCAGCAAATTAAAGTAATGACAGATATGCTAAACCCGGTGATTTTAAACCGTAGATCTATGGTTTAAAATCACTCGGTGTATTTCACCAGGTGTAGCATCTACAAAAAAATATTATTACTTTTGTTTTTTACCACCTAATTTTTAGTAAATAATATTATCACCTCAAAATAAACTGACCACAAAAAAATGTGAGGGATTATTATTGTTAATAATTATATATTTAGTTAATAAATAAATAAATGAAAATAAAACTATAATAACGGTAAAAAAAATCAGGTGGAAGAGAGAGAAACTCGGGTGAGAGGAACCAGTAATTTCAAGAGTTAGTTGCACAAAAAGGGACAGTTTTTCCCTCCCTTTAATCCCTCACTTCCATTGCTTTTTTAATAATAATTCCTCTCGCATTTATTTCCCACACAACAAAAAATAAAAATAAAGATTGTGAAACTCTTTCCCTTTCTCCACCACCACCACCCCAGAGCCACCGCCGCCGCTCAGAAAATGACAATGGCGTCTAGGCTTCTGCTCCCCCTCCTCCTCCTCATCCCCCTCCTCCCTCCCGCCGAACCTAAGCTCTCCGTCGACTACTACAAAAAAACATGCCCCAACTTCGCTAAGATCGTCCAGGACGTGGTGGTGGAGAAGCAGCTCGCCGTCCCCACCACCGCCGCCGGCGCCCTCCGCCTCTTCTTCCACGACTGCATAGTCGGCGGATGCGACGCCTCCCTCCTAATCTCCTCCAACCCCTTCAACCGCGCCGAGCGCGATAACGAGGTCAACCAAGCACTCCCCGGGGACGCCTTCGACGTGGTCATACGCGCCAAGACAAAGCTCGAGCTCGAGTGCCCGGGCATCGTCTCCTGCGCCGACGTCCTCGCCGAGGCCACCCGCGACCTCGTCTCAATGGTCGGCGGCCCCTACTTCCCCGTCCGCCTCGGCCGCAAGGACAGCGTGGAGTCACGCGCCACCGACGTCGAGGGCCACATCGCCCTCCCGAACATGTCTCTCACGCATATCATCGAACAGTTCTCGTCCAAGGGCTTCTCCGTCCAGGAGATGGTCGCCCTCACCGGGGCCCATACCATCGGGTTCTCCCACTGCTCTGAGTTCGCCAACCGAATCTACAACTTCAGCAGCACCGCAGACTACGACCCCACCATGAACCCCGACTACGCGCAGGGGCTCAAGAAGCTCTGCGCAAACTACAAGAACGACTCCACCATCGCCGCATTCAACGACCCCATGACCCCCGGAAAATTCGACAACATGTACTATCTGAACCTGCAGAAGGGCGTCGGACTGCTGGCCAGCGACCAAATTATGGCCTCCGATCCAAGAACGAAGCCGTTCGTCGATCTTTACGCGGCGAACCAGTCGGCATTTTTCGAGGCATTTGCTCACGCGATGGAGAAAGTGAGCGTACACAATGTGAAGACGGGGAAGAAGGGAGAGGTTCGGAGGAGGTGCGACGCGCCAAATACACTCCAAGGAAGTTAAAAATTGTTAATAAAATTTTATGGTATTATTATTAATATTATTATTATTGTTCTTTAAGTATATATATATATATATATAAAATATAGATGATTTGTGATGAAAATATTTTAAATTATGTTTGGAAATTTTTTATTGGAGATGTTAAGACTAAAGTGGTGGGATGTTTTATAATTAGGCGCGTGCATTTTAATTAATATATAATATTATTTACTGTATTTATTTTTTTGGTTACATATAAGATGGAGAGGGAAGAAAATAGTTGAAAATATGTTATTATTTTGTAAGATGTTTGGCTTAATCTTAATTCAAAGAGTTTCGCAAGGTTGTTCTGGTAATTTCACTGTGGAAAAATTAACAATGTTACATAATTGCACACTCTTGTTTGGTAAACACCAACCAACTGTTACAAAGTAAGAAACCAGAGGGGTTTCAAATGCAATAAAAAAAAAGATTCGAATTTGAATGAGATGTTCAATGTACAAAAAACAAAGAGAATACGTAATAATACACGAAGGGGGCAGTTTAGTCCATACCACAAGGCTTCCGTTTGTCCACCTTTAAATGAAGATTGTACCATCTTTTCTTCTTCGACCTGTCCTTCGATTGCTTCTTGTCCCTTGCCAGAAGCCCGTCTTCGCTTTCCTTGAATGAGGCCTTGTTCTTGCTTCGACTGCTACTGCTACGTTTTATTTGTGGAGCAATCGTATAACATGCGTGTATTTCATTCCTCTGTTTAAGAAGCTCATCGATCTGTTCACAAGTTTCATATTATTCAAAAAAAATTAGAAAAAAAAAACCATGTTATTATCTAGTGATAGCGTGAGGTATTACTTACAGCTTGCATTTCTTGTGCGTATCTATTTGTCATCTCAGTAAATTGGGATAGGACCTGTTAAGAATTCACACGTAAATAAGCGTAAATTTTACATTAACGACACATACTCTGCTTACGTTGGATCACTGACCTCCCTATATTCCGTTTCGAATTTAGAAAGTTCGACTCTTTTTGACAAAATTTGACCTTCCACGGATCTAAGACTCTCCTTCTCTTCGGGAAAAGATGCAGCAGAAAGAACTTCTATGGTGTAGCTTACGCTTTTGAAAAAATTATCACCTGTAGATACATGAGTAGTGTGCACAGAATTAGCCTGTCGTAAGAAAAACAATATATGCAGGTAACATTACAAAGAAATATAGGTACCATAAACTGCAAAATAATGGGTCCCGGCTTTTAGTTCATTTATTTCACAAGGCTGAAATCCATCTAGCTTTTTGAAGAAAGCAGCATCAGGGTCCTTTACAGCTGCCACCTAAATCAGGATTAACAAGAAATCGAAACCAACCAATGAATCAGTGAGTGAACA